TCTGGACTGGCCCAAATTAGCTCGGCCCAACATGCTCAGTCCTATCTGTCCAGCTTCTACCACGGCCTAAAGCTAGATTATAAATCTCCCTCACAACAATAAAAAAATAATAACATTCCCTCATTTCATAGAGAAAATTTCTTCCTTATTTTATTAAGAAAATCTCTCCCTTATTCCATTGAGAAATTCTCGCTTTTGTTCCAAGGAGAAAATATCTCATATTCTTAAAACCATAAATCATCTACCTTCTGAAAATCTGTATGTAAACTTTCACATTATAGATGCACGTTGGTAAATAACATTCTATCATGAAACCATACACACACTCAATGTTACATGAGGGTGTGAACATTAACATTGGGTGTGACTACCTATTTGTATTGCAAAATTAATGTGAACATTCACATCTCTATGTATATGCTATGTTTGTGATGAAAATAACATATTATTATTTATGCTAGTATCACTATTTTTTAACGTGAATATTAACACATTGTTGTTTGTGCTTGCATGACTATTCTTGAATGTGAATATTAACGTTAATTAATGATGTGATGATTACAACATCAATTGCAACACATTACAATGTGATAATCCACAATTAATAACTACATACAATGTGAACATTTATACTATGTAATAATCATGCAAAAACTATGCAAAACTCAAACAATAATCAATAATATATGTGAACATTTACATTATGCAATAATCAATTTACATTGCACATCATGTAATATCACATGCTTCAGATGTTAAAGTTCACATCATTAAATGCAAAACATTAAAATATGATAATCCACAACAATAAGACTCCAGTTGATGTAAACATTCACATTCACTGAAATGCCCCATCAATATTTTAATTTATTCTCTACCTATCCTGTAAAACATCTTGATGATGATGCTAATGGGGTTGTTTTCCCCAGAGCCCTGTTAAACTCTATTTAATATATATTATCTTTCTTAAAAAAAAATAATCACCCATCTAATAAGTATACACACATTAATACATAATACAATATCAATTCATTTAGAAACAAAAAGTCGAATCCAATTTTAATTAATTGTTGAATAATTCTAAACATACATCTCTACCAAACATTATTGAACATGAATCCTTACCAAACGCATACCTATATGGAGTTGCAAAACAAAAATGATGCTAACCTTCATTCAACAATTCTGAACTTGTGATGGATATGAATCGTCCCTCTGATTGAAAGAAAACAAAGTTTCAAAATCGCAACAATGGAAGAAAATAGAGTTTCAGACCACAACAATAGAAGAAGACAATATTCTTTTGCTCTCTCACCACAAACGTATAAACGAAACCCTTACAAAAAAACATATAATAGAAATGTATCCAATGATTCTTCCAAGATCACTGATCACCAAAACTGTCAAAACAGAAATAACAAAATATGGAAAACATATATATATATATATATATATATATATATATATATCTTATTGTGTATAATACTTATTATCAAAATAAAACAAAAGGTTATTATAGTCCCCAAAAAATTGATTTGGCATTTGTTTTCAGAAATCTCACCAAAGGTCTTTACGATATTTAATAAGGCCATGATTTTTGGGCTTTATATGTGTATCTCTATGAACTTTCTTTTTTCTCTTTTGAAATTTTTAACATTATACTTTAACTACATGTCTCTTTTCAGTTATGATATTAAGAAAGATGTATGAAACTATGGATTTAAAAGGAATGTATGAAGAGGAGTTGTTTTGAGGAGTTGCATTTTTGCTTCCCATCTTACTTTGTTGTTGTCTACTGCATAAATTTTTTTATGCAAGAAGTTGTGATGGATGTTAGCATCCATATCTTTTAGAGAGAGAGTCATTTGAATCGTCGACTAAATCATTATGTGCTTCACATTACATGCATTTGGATATGAATAAGGTTTCCAACAGTGACTTGTGTGTGTGTGTTTGTATATATATATGAAACTGTAATGTTGAATCAGTATCACACGTGAAACAGGAGTATGAAAGCATCATATTTGGCCTCATGATCACTTTGGAGGACCATCAACTTGGTGATTCCTAAGAATGTAATAATAGTTATAAAGTGATTTTCCTTTTAAAGGTTATTCTACATGTACACATGTTGAAAATAAAAAGGAAAATGTATCATCATAATGGAATAAAAAGGAAAATATATCATCAAAAAATTATGAGCAGTTGACAGTCAATTAGCAAGCTAAAAAATTATGAGCAGTTAAAATTTTCTTATGTAGTTATAATTTGATTGGCAACAGTAGCACTAATTGATGTGCATTTTAATTTTAATTTTTTTTAAATTGCAAAGCACTGGCTGGTATGTATTATTTGATATTTAATTTTTTTTTATATTTGATTTGTTTGGAATTGTAAAGTACAGTCTGTTAAATATATTTTTATAACTGCATTTTAATCTTAATATTATTTACACCGTGCCTTTAGGCACGGGCATACGCTAGTATATCCTAATTTCTTATCAAGCCAAACATACAAAATAATTATTTCCTTTTAACACATGAAAATGTAGTTTCTTAGATGCATTCCTTGTCACTTTGAAATCCAATTAATAAAATGTTTTTTTGCTTAAATTCTAAAAAAATTTAGTTCCAAATCAATTTTATTTATTTTCATTTAGCAATTTCCTATTGAGCACTCGGGTTATAAGTCCAATTTCAAAACTTTCGAGGCAATAGTTCCAAGATCTATTTGCTTGCAAAGCAATCTTAAGATACAATTTTTGAGAAAAATTTTCAAAATTTTGTTTGGTTCAAATTTTTTGAAAACAATTTCCAAAATTACTTTCTCTCTCCTACATAACAATCAATCACTTTTTCTCTCTTCTCTCTCCTTCTCAATCATTTTTTCTCTTTCATACATCTACTCAACTACAACAAAATATTAAATCATCTTAAACTCTCAAACTCCAAAATTATTTTCAAAATATACAACCAAACAAACTAAAAAAATTTCTAAACTCTTTTCCTAAATTTTTTTTTTGAAAATTTATCTATTTGTCATTACCTTACTTTTTTTTGTTTATATGTCCATTATCCATCTATTTGTCCATGTCATCAATCTATCCATTTATCTGTATACATACCATCCTTCTATTTGTCTACTTAATTTGTCTATATAACTACCACCCCACCAATTGTTGCCCCCATCCACTTCAACCAACAACTTTGGATAAATAAATATATATATATATATATTTAAAATAATAATTTGTTCTTCTCAATAAATAATTTTATTAGTTATGTTCTTAGCTCTATAAAAGATCTACTATTCGACCAAATACCAGTTTTGGGCATTTTACTTTTTTTTTTCTTCTTCTTCTTCTTCCATTTCAGGTCTGAAATGCAGAGGGAGAGGGAGAGGGAGAGAGAGAGAAGAGAGGGGAAGAGGAGGAGTCAAGCCTCACAGTTATTGCTCTTCTATTTTATTTTCAATTTTTTTTTTTATCAAATTCAAATTTGATAAAAGATTGGATGAGTGCTCAATTTAATATAAAAAATGAGCCTATATTGATTTGATGCACATTTGATAAATAAAAAAATATTAAAAATGATATTTGAGTATTTTTTTTATTATGGTAAATTATAAATACACCCCTTGAAATTTACTTAAAATACGAATTACTCCTTGTAGCTTGAAAAATTACAAATACCTCTCTGTCAGAATTTTTTATTTAATAGAATTAATTGAAAATTTGAAATTTCTAATTGTTCACCTATGCAATAATAAAATTATTTGAATTATTATTCGAAATAAAATTTTAACATTATTAAAAACTGTTAATTAACTTGATAATTTATTAATAAAAAAATTTATTTGTTATGAAATTAGAAATCTAGAGGCATAATGTAATTTCTAAAACTACAGAAAATAATTTATAATTTAAGTAAATTTTAGGGATGTATTTGTAATTTATCTTTTTTATTATCGTTCAAAATTTTTTTTGATTAATTTTAAATCTAATAAACGAAGAGATAAGGATTGTAGATGATCTGACCTCGACCCGTCTTTCTTGTGATACCTTTACCTTTCCCTCTCATGTTCATCTCTCTTGCCGAATCAATCATATACAAATAAATTAGCAGTCGATGACATCAACTCCTTGCAATCCCCTTGTTTGGTGACCATCTCCAACGGTGAACCAAACCCAGCATCAGATTTAAATTTTGATGAAAAACCTACTTTTTCACGCTCCAACGGTTTCACCAAATCGATATCAAATCCAGAATTCAGCAAAAATGGTACCAAACTGAGTGCAGGCGAAGCATTTCAGCAAACCACTGTTCCTAACCGTTGGGATGAGACGAACAGGTCGACCATCCGGTTGACCAACCGGTTAACCAACCGGTCGCCCCGGAGAAAGTTCAGACCGTTCACAAAAAGGTTCAAACCAGTCCAAAAAAAAAAAAAAAATTTGCCAAGGTGGTCGACCACCCGGTCAACCGGCCGGTTGACCACCCGGCCGACCACCAAAAGTTCAAAAAGTTCCAAATGTTGCAAAACCTCTTCCAACTTCTAACACCATTTATATAAATTCATAAAAATTTATATAAGTTTGTATATGATGCCGGTCAACCAACCGGTTGCCCAGCGCAAATTTGATGAAACGGATTTGATGTTGAACCGTTGGAGCGCGAAGTATCAAATTAAAGAAATGACCCATTTTTTACACAGATTTGGTGAAATATTTGGTACACCGTTGGAGATGCTTCCTCTCCATCACCAATCGACTTCGACATAAATTGGTGGCCTCCAACAGATTGTTCTACAACAATAATTGTGAGGCTTTATTCAGAGCCCTTCAACGATTCACAAACCTGCACGAGATTGAGCTTCATGATCCTGTCTTCGGTGACAACGCCGACGTCAATTACCCCATTCGAAGAATCGCTTCTTCCGGGTTGGATCTTCATTCCCTCTCTCTTGAATCTTTACAGAAACCCCCATTACCTAAAACTATTATGAAATTGGGTTTGACCATGAAGAACTTGAAGATTTTAAGATGTCCTCGGGCCAAGCGTTTTCGAAATCACCACCTTGTTGCCATAGCTGATGCTTTACCATGGCTTGAAGAGCTCGGTATCCAATTTTCCGGCAACAATTTTGATTCTAAAAGCGCAAAGGAATTGAGGTTATGTCTCGTAAGCTCCGACGGTTGCGTAAAATTGATATAACCGGGCAGGTTGGTTGTTCTGATCGACCTCTCATTGCTTTGTCATCAAATTGTGAGCTTTTGCTTGAAATTCAATGTGCTTGTTGCGGAATAACTGAACATGGCGTTTGTTTTGTACTACGCCATAGTCGAAACTTGATTTCTCTAGATGCTGGACCCTATTCCAGTTTACAAAATGATTCCTTCACTTTTGAGAATTCCATGACTTATGCAACATCTTTACGTGATCTTGTGTTAGAACCATATGGAGATCATGACCGAATTCTTTCTTCCATTTCAACATCCGGCATTCCATTAGAGAAGATTTTAATATACGAAGATTCTGGTTTGAGCTTACATGGACTCACGACTTTCTTGTGTGCATGTCCATCTTTGACACACTTGACACTTTGTGACAGATTTTCTCAATGACGATTCCATGAGGGATTTATGCCAATATCTTTCTAGTCTTGTGTACATAAAGCTTTGTTGTTCAGCCTTAACTGCCACAACCTTCTTCCTTCTTACGAAAGAATGTCCTATGCTTTCAGAAATTGACCTGGGCCTTCTAGAGCTACAGGTTGAAGATGATTTGGACATGGTCTTGGGGAGGAATTATCGAATAAGATCTTTGAATTTGGGTTTTTGTGTGTCAAATGATGAATTCCTGAAAAAAATAGGGGTCATTTGCCCCAACTTACAGACTCTTAATCTGACAGGACTTTACGGATTGACAACAGAGAGCATTGGGGAAATTTTGAGGTGTTGCTCTCAGATTAAGCATTTGACAGTGGACAGAACCAGAGAAATGGTGACTTTTTTGGAACAATTCGAAACTCGCCACATTAAAATTGAACATTATCGGATCCTAGAGGAGGGCAATGACTGATACGAGGCATCTCTGGCACTGGTATTCTGTATGTGAAGAAAGAAAAGGGCTGCTAGGACTTCTTGTGGCTGCTAGGACTTCTTGTGACTTGAGGATGAAGAAGAATAGTAAGTGGTATTTGTTAGAGAGAAAAAAAAAAACCTCCAAACCCATACTCTCGCTGCATTTTGCATTGGAATTTGACAGGAAGACTTGTATTTTGAACTCGTCATGTTTTTAACTTTCAGCTGTCCAATATGTGATGCTGTGTTCCAGAGATGTATTTTGCTCATAATTTTGATTTTACTCTTTTCTGCTTTTAAGACTCAAAATTTTGATTTTATCTTTTTAATAAAAATTAATAATATTGATGATAATAGTGAGTTTTGATAGAGTAAATTAGAGTTTTGAAAGAAGATGAATAAAAAATAATTAAAAGTTGAAAAAGAAGATGAAAAGAGTTGAATATGATGTAATATGTATTATACTTATTAATAAATTTATATTAAGATATAATAACAATAAAAATTTTAAAATTTTAATTAGGCATATTAAATTATTATTTGGATATAAATAAAAAGAAACCAAACACCAAAATCATCACTCACTAAAGGGCCCATCAACCTCCCAAGTACCGCACCAAATTATAGGCCAAAGGTCTTTTTTGATGAATAGTGAAATACAATTTGCTCAGTAATTTTCTATTAAAAAATATATAATGCATTGAAAATTCTATTTAAATATTATTTGTCTTTGAATCCATCATATATATACAAGCATGTAGCAAAGCAGATAATATTTTGTGTCAAATGATATAAAGTACTTATCATATGAAATGTATGCCTGTGTTTGGCAAGGGCTTTTTCAGGCTTTTTTGGCTATTTTAGCCACAAAAAACAAAATAGGCTATTTTAGCCATAACAAACAAAACATCACATCCAACCTATAATCATTACATTCTTCTCTCACAAAAAAAGTCAAAAAAGCTAAAAAGCCAAAAAGCCCTTCCCAAACCAAGCTTTTTAGCCCAGGCTAAAATAGTCAAAAAAGTCAAAAAGTCAAAAAGTCAACCCACTTCCCAAACGGAGGCAAAATTGAACATTATCGGATTCTAGAGGAGGGCAACGACTGATACGAGGCATCTCTGGCACTGGTATTCTGTATGTGAAGAAAGAAAAGGGCTGCTAGGACTTCTTGTGGCTGCTAGGACTTCTTGTGACTTGAGGATGAAGAAGAATAGTAAGTGGTATTTGTTAGAGAGAAAAAAAAAAACCTCCAAACCCATACTCTCGCTGCATTTTGCATTGGAATTTGACAGGAAGACTTGTATTTTGAACTCGTCATGTTTTTAACTTTCAGCTGTCCAATATGTGATGCTGTGTTCCAGAGATGTATTTTGCTCATAATTTTGATTTTACTCTTTTCTGCTTTTAAGACTCAAAATTTTGATTTTATCTTTTTAATAAAAATTAATAATATTGATGATAATAGTGAGTTTTGATAGAGTAAATTAGAGTTTTGAAAGAAGATGAATAAAAAATAATTAAAAGTTGAAAAAGAAGATGAACAGAGTTGAATATGATGTAATATGTATTATACTTATTAATAAATTTATATTAAGATATAATAACAATAAAAATTTTAAAAATTTAATTAGGCATATTAAATTATTATTTGGATATAAATAAAAAGAAACCAAACACCAAAATCATCACTCAGTAAAGGGCCCATCAACCTCCCAAGTACCGCACCGAGGGCCGGCCCTGAGATTTAGGGGCCCAAGGCGAACTTCGGAAATGGGGTCCTCTTACATTGAAAAAAAAAATAAAAAATTCATAGACAAAACGATAAGTTACAATTTTTTTATTTGTTTGTACCCACAAAAAAATTTACTTACACATATAATCATTAAAATTATAAATAAAAATTTACTTTAATATATTAAGATAGGAAGCAATCATTACAAATACTTAAAAATAAATAAAAATCTAGTCTTGTTACTTTTTTTTTCGCCTCATGTTCAATTGGGCCTATAGTATTTGGGCCTCTTTTTTTTTTTAATTTCTAAAACACAAAATTATATTTGGAGGCTCCTATTTTCAATCCAAATTTAGGAGTCTAAGGCGTAGGCCTCTCTTGCCTACCCTCAGGGCCAGTCCTGGCCGCACCCACCCCAGAACAAGCAAACCTAACAGAGGCATTTGCCACCCAAAGCACACCCGACACTCCCCCAGTGAGACCAAATCTCGAACACCATCGCAATTTCCTAGTGCACCTCAATTTTACCATTAACCATATTTACCACCAGCTGTGAGTCACCTTCCACAACTGCCGAGAAGCCAAACTCGCAGGCCAACCGATAGCTTCTTCCGCCAATAATGCTAAAATTTGGACTACCCATTTGATTTGGGTAGATTTTAAACTAAATGTTTGGGTACTATTTTTAAATGTTATATTTCATTTAATTCATCTTATTTTTTAATATTTCATTAGGATAATATGACTAAATTACTCTTTCAAATTTTTTTAGTATGTTTTCATTTTGAAACCAATTCAAAATAAAAAAAAAATAACATTCCCTCATTCATAGAGAAAATTTCTTCCTTATTTTATTGAGAAAATCTCTCACTTATTCCATTGAGAAAATTTCTCATTTATTCCAAGGAAAAAATATCTCATATTTTTAAAACCATAAATCATCTACCTTTTGAAAATCTCGATGTAAACTTTCACATTATAGATGCACGCTGGTAAATAACATTTCATCATGAAACCATACACATACTCAATGTTACATGAGGGTGTGAACATTAACATTGGATGTAACTACCTATTTGTATTGCAAAATTAATGTGAACATTTTTAGTATGTTTTCATTTTGAAACCAATTCAAAATAAAAAAAAATAACATTCCCTCATTCATAGAGAAAATTTCTTCCTTATTTTATTGAGAAAATCTCTCACTTATTCCATTGAGAAAATTTCTCATTTATTCCAAGGAAAAAACATCTCATATTTTTAAAACCATAAATCATCTACCTTTTGAAAATCTCGATGTAAACTTCCACATTATAGATGCACGCTGGTAAATAACATTTCATCATGAAACCATACACATACTCAATGTTACATGAGGGTGTGAACATTAACATTGGATGTAACTACCTATTTGTATTGCAAAATTAATGTGAACATTCACATCTCCATGTACACGCTATGTTTGTAACAAAAATTACACATTATTATTTATGTTAGTATCACTATTTTTGAATGTAAATATTAACACATTGTTGTTTGCGCTTGCATGACTATTTTTTAATGTGAACATTAACATTGACTAATGATGTGATGATCACAACATCAATTGCAACACATTACAATGTGATAATCCACAAGTAATAACTCTATACAATGTGAACATTCATACTGACATGGATAGGCCCACAAGGCTTACGGCCCACAGCAAACAACCCCAAACCCATCGTTTGGGACCCATAGCATAACCCAGTTGGCAAAGCCCAGGACAGCTGGAGGCCATCTGGACATGGAGGGCCAATGGCATTCAGGCACATGGCAGGTGAAACACAGGCCACATCAGCAGACAAAGATCTGCAGAGTTATTGCCACAACATATCACCATTAATGCAGCCCATCACAGCATTTATTACGACAACACCTCCCCGTCGGAACAGAGCCCCCTCACCCTGAACAAGGTAAGCTACGGCACAGGCTTTCGGCGGAACGGGGCACGTCACAAGGGACAGTAAAATGATTACCAAAAGATATAAGCAAGAATCGAAGACAAGAGGAAGGTTAAGCTTCTCTATCTCTCTCTCTCTCTCTCTATATATATATATATATATATTTCCTTCTTCCTCTACTGATTCGCTCGCAGGAGGGTTCACTGGAGGACTACCTTGTTCCCCTTTGGACTTGCTTGCAGGTCATCTGGTGGAATCACCCGCCTGAATCGGAACTTGAAGAGCTTGGACCAGCCCAACCTATCCACCCAGGACGGACTGCATTATCAGTTGGCGCCGTCTGTGGGAAGTTGTGGTTTATTCGTGCGCTAGTTGTGTTCACTATCGCCGGAGCCCTCTTTTCTCACCGTTACCTTTTCCTCTCACCCGTCCAAGTGTATGGTCACGACTAGGTCCATGGCTTCTCACCATAATACCGCCGATCACCAAACAGACCCTTCCCATCCAAACAACCCACCACAATACATCATCGAACTTACTAACAGCATTAACCGCATGGCCGAGCAAAACCAGGCCCTGATCAGTGCTTTACTCCAAAGAAACCTCCCCGCTCCACCTCCAGATATTCCACCCAACAAAGAAAGAACTCCGGTCCACACACTGCTCCACAACCCCCTCCGCTCAACCCAGAAGGTTTACAACCCCCCCTCCTCCACATATGAGCCTACCACCTCCACCTCCGTGCCCGTCAGTCGTAGCACTAGCCCCTGAGGGGGAAGCCAGCAGTGTCCAGCCTCCATTGACCGACCACGGCGACAACATTCCCCTCTGGGACGCTGAACTCCGAGCTATGAAGCTCCAACTACAAGGGCTCATGCAGAACATTCAGCACAAGCCCTCAGTCACCGCTAACTCGCCTTTTGTTGCCTCCATCCGCGACAAACCATTGCCCGCCAAGTTCAAAATGCCTACCATTGACTCCTTCGATGGCACAACGGACCCAGTCGATCATCTGGAAACCTACCGCACCCTCATGATCCTCCATGCTTTCCCTGACGAGAGCATGTGCCGAGCTTTTCCAGTGACACTGAAGGGATCAACTCGGTTGTGGTTTAGCCAGTTACCGGCCGACTCCGTCTCCACCTTTCAACACCTCAGTGACTCTTTCCTAAGCCATTTTATCAGAGCCCAGCGTCAGAGATGCCCAGCCACCCAACTCCTTAACATTCGTCAGACCGAGGGGGAGTCGCTCCGCAGCTTCGTCACCCGCTTCAACACCGAAGCCCTTCAAGTAGCAGAGAATGACGACAAGGTCATCCT